ATATATATATATATATATATATATATATATATATAACTGTTAAATCGGATAAGAGCTATAGCAAAAGTAATTGCAAGCATGTAATCTGATGAAAGATAATTAATTGAATATTTATCAAAGGTTGAATTTTTGGAAACAGTTGCAAACCTTGAGACACCTCTTCCCATTCTTTTGCTCAACAAGGAATTATTTTATTGAAGTATCAAAAGAAATTCAGAGGTAAATCAAATGAACGACACTTACCCAATGCATATGCACTTTTCGGTTCTTCTTTCTTAAATAAAAGATGAAATATCCAGTCCAGCCACCAATAACATACGGAGTATAACGCACCCAAGAAGCGAAATAAACATACTGTTGAAATACTGACAGCACATTCATATCAAGAGCCCTTAAAATAGCTTCTCAATTCTATAAGCTAGTGTTTTAAGAACCTTTGGTTTGAATTTTTCTAACAAGTGAATTTAAGCAAGAAATTTTGAGCATTTATTTTGCTGTAATCCTTTATCGTTAAGAGTAGACAAGCTGCAATGTTTTTTCGCTTACGTAGCGTGAACAATGATTCCAGTAAACGAAGCTGGAAGCTCCCATTTGAAATATGCCCAGTAGTTCAAGGCCGTAGAAATAGCAATTAAGATAACTCCAGAAACTAGTCCACCGATAAAATGTAAGGCTAAAGGAATGAGGAACAAAGGTGCGAAGATATGAATTTGCATATCTAAAGCTAAATACCAAGCGTGACCCATACACTAAAATGCACAACACTGTTAACACAAGCATTAAGAAACCGTTTTACTATAGAGAATCTTTCGAGGCCAACAAGCGAAAAAACTATTGCAAAATTTGAAAAGCAAGGGCTGCGATTATATAATGAACTACAATAACGAAATATACCATATTCTCCAGATCGTAAAGATTGTTAATGTATAGTACATTTCTCCACCAGGTGTGACGACATCCAGTCATTGTTGCAAGCATGTTCATTTCTCTCGGCCCTACGGTCAAAAAGTCAAAGAATACTATTGTAAAACCCAAAAACAGCCAATATGGGGGACTTAACCTGAAAAAGGGTAGACTGCATTAGTGAAACAAAGACAGCAGATATTTAGCGTACGTAAATCAGTAGTAGTTTTAATTCTGAAGAACCAGTAGCTTTCAACCTTATTCTTAATCAAAATTTCATTTTTTATTTGAAAAACTCTTTCAAATTCTTAAAAAAATTAAAAAGAGAAATAATATGAAAACATTTTTGCACCAAATTTATCTTCTCAAGACTAACCTGACAATACGATGAAAATAGTACAAAAACCAGTAACCACCAGATCTCAGACAAGCAGGTTTCCTGTCAATGTCTTTTAGAAATAGGAAAGTTAGTAGAAAACCGCCAAGGAACAAAAATGTGTCAACAGAAAAGAAGGCATTGGTAAACGCCATGTTCAAGAAGTACCGATTAGACTGCATCATTTGTAGTAGATTATCTGAAATTGTTGAAACAAAAGTGCAGAACGTTAATTTTATCAATACTGTACTTAATTTTATAGAAAAGCAAATTGAAAGTTATTCTTAGACTGGAACAAAAGTCTTCGCAGCTAAAAGCTGTTATATTCTGCAATAAAAAGGAAAAAAAAAAAAA